ATTAAGCTTGCAGGAGGTACTATTTCTTGGCAGTCCAGATTGCAAAAGTGTGTTGCCTTGTCCACTACAGAGGCAGAGTTTATTGCTATCACTGAAGCGTGCAAGGAAATGCTGTGGTTGAAGAGATTCTTGCGAGAACTTGGCTTTACACAAGAGAGGTATAAACTACTTTGTGATAGTCAAAGTGCTTTACATCTTGCTAAGAATCAAACTTTCCATTCTCGCTCAAAACACATCGATGTGAGGTATCATTGGATACGTGATGTATTGGATGCTAAGCTGTTGGAGTTAGCAAAGGTGCAAACTGATGACAATGGTGCTGATATGCTAACCAAGGCATTGCCTAAATGGAAGTTTGATGTTTGTTGTGAGATCGCTGGGCTGGCGATCACCTCCACATAGTCGTGAGGGGGAGATATGTTGGGTTTTGGGCTCACTTCTTATGTGGAGGCCCAAGTAAAGCCCAATTCTTCACAAGCCCACTCTTTGATGAAATAAGAGGTTAACAAGAGGTGGAGTTAGGGTAGAGAGTAGAAAACGAGAGAGAGAGAGAGCAGAAAAATCGAGAGAGAGAAGGAAGCTGTTCATTTCTCGGATTTGTGTGCGCAGCGTTTTTCAGACTGATGTTTGGAGGGTCAAACGGTGTCTGATTGTTCTGAAATTTTAGGAGCAGGTTCGGGACACATTGAACTTGATTTCCACTGGTCAGTTTTGGATTTGGAGGTCTGCAGGCTGAGATATTCGAATCTGAACAGAGGCAGTATTTTCTGGTTTTTCTGCATATTCTCTAGTTGTTTGCTCCTTGTTGTGGCAGTATATTTGCAGTATCTTTATACTGATTTCAACCCTTGTTTGAGACACTCTTGTACCCTATTTCTGGTCATAGTGGAGCTTGCTTGGTGGTCTTTGTGACCCGTGGTTTTTACTCTCGATTTGAGGGGTTTTCCACGTAAAAATTCTGGTGCATCGTGTCTTTATTATTTGTGCTTATTTGCTATTAGCTTGTTGATGTTTTTGATCCTCTTACTCTTGCAAGTGGGGAATTAGTATTTGGTGTGGTTGTATTCTCTTCTTAATTCCCATCACTTTGATCATTAATATCTCCATTTTTATATGAATATATATTACAAAAATAACATATTTCAAAACTATGTTTCAAAATTAATTTATTGATAATTAATTTATATGAAAATTCCATATATTTTTTCCGTAATATACGGTCAAAGTTTAAAAAGTTTGACTGCAAAAGTCAAAATGAGAAATTAATTTTAGGACGGAGGGAGTAATATTTTATACTTCGTATTATATCGTTAGATATTATAATTAATAAAATTATTTTAATTTGTATTTTCTCACTCTATCTAGTTTTCAAAATCATTTTGCGTATACCGTTGCACTATCAATTTTTCATTTGTATTATTATTATTATTAAAAGTTATGGAGTAATAAATATTTTCTAATAATACTTTATTAGATAATGTTTTTGACAATATTTTTGACTTTGTGTTTTGACATTATATGACATTATAAGCCTAATTTTGTTAGAAAATTATTGAAAGTCTTATTTTGATATATAGAACATGTTTATTTGTTAATAGTTATTTCTTACAAGTTTAATTTACCTTTTCTCGTGTAATTGTCTACCCAATTCTAGAATATCAAAAAAATAATATTCGGATTGGTAGTGCGGGGATCCTTGGAGTTGGTTTATTTTTTTATTTAAGGAATACCATAAAGATTAGGTCGTCCTTCATTAATAAAAGTCTAATAATGGAATAATATGTCAACAAAGAAGGTATATAGAGTGGGTTGTTTATCTGGATTCTGAAATGGTGTTATGTATGGTAGACATTAGGTCCAAAGAGAAAGGGAAAGGTCAAGATGGATGTGGACAAATTTAATGGAATTTATTGAGAATGTGTTAAAGACCAATGCAGCTTTGGCAATGGCAGAAGAGACAGGACGATTTAGAGGTAATAGTTTAATTGGCAATTGCTACCTTCTTCACTTAGATTCCATGTTTTAGTCACCGTATCTGATTGGTTCTGATATGATTCGAAGAAGTTCTGATCTGGTCTTATAATATAGTTATATTTAAAATATTTCTGGTTTGATCTGATCTGATTGCAATAAGATTAAGTATAAGTAAAAAAATAACTTGAGGAGAACATGGTCTTATTCTCTCCCTCCATCAATAATGTCCTCGTTGCACGTTATGATGTTTGAATGAAGTTATTTTTAAATCATGCTATATGAAAAATCGTATGAAGTTATAAAATAAAAATTACTCTAATATTTAAAAGCTACATTAAAGATCTATAAAACTAGAATTGACATAAGTACATGACTATATTATTTTATCAAATGAGTAACAAAAATATGCAACAAAGTAAATAAAGTTTCACTATGTGAATAGTGAACGGGATCATTGTTGTCAAACGGAGGGAGTATTTCTTCACAAAAAAAGACTATAAATTATTGATTTAATTACATATTAAAAATTTTAAAGTTTTGAAAAGATTTGTGAATTGAATTTGTTTAGATTGGAGAAATTATAAAATTTGTGTTTGACACATGTTCATTATTATTAAAAACGAAATGTCGGTGGGTGTTGCGCAGTTGGCAAGGCAAGGGAGTGCCAAGGGGATAAGACTCGAGTTCGATTTCTGGCAACTGCGCTAAAAGGTTATTATGTTAAGCATATGGTATCTCCAAATACCAGGTGCATGCTTCACTTTTTGCCACCAATCTGTGATTAAAGTCCAATTTACCTCCTCTTAGTGAATGTTCGGCCGGCTCTAAGGGGGCCCTCAGGGATGCTCATCTTTTATTATTATTATTATTATTATTATTATTATTATTATTATTATTATTATTATTATTATTATTATTATTATTATTATTAAAAACGAAATAAAAGAGAAAAATGATGAGGAAATAAACCTTTTTACTACGTATGATGATATCCACAAAAAATATTCCCATGTATCTTGCAAGGCTGCTTTTTTGTGGGAGACAATTGAGTTTCAAGGGAATGGGCTCCCTGATTTGATGGGTCAAGAGAAGAGAAGGTGCTTATTGCCAAATTTATTCATTTCCCATAGTCATCCCCATGCTGTTGCTTTATTTATTGCACAAACTATCTGCATTAACCCATCTACTATGTATGCTTATTTGTTAAAAACCACTATTGGAAAACCCTATAAAATCATGTGTCATTAAGTGGTGTGAAAGACATAGTCTAAGCAAATTCTTTTTTGGTATTGGGATCCAAATTTATTTTTTAGATCTTATTAATTACATCGACTTCATAAAAAATATGCCAGAAAGTCTATATTCCAAATATAGCTCGTAAAACCACAAAAACGCAACTCTTGATTATATTCTAACCTTTCCAAAATTGGCTCTTGCCATGTCAAATCATCCATTTTCTTGAAATAAAAAAGTGAGCTTTTAATTTAGAAATTACGGAGTATTTTTAATATCAATGTAATAATAATAATTTTGATGGTAACAATACTAATAGTAGTACTAGTAATAGTAATAATATTAAATAGTACTCCCTCCGTCCCAATTTATAATGTCTGTTTACTATTCACAAGGTCAAACTTCATTCACTTTCTTTCTCTATTTTCGTTAGCAATTTGATAAAATAATATACTATTGTCACCACTAGTTTTGTAGATCTTTTGATGTAGTATTTTGATATGTAATTTTCATTTTTTAACTCTATACCATTTGTCATATAAAATGATTTGAAAATAATTTCAGTCAAACATCGTAAACCAAAACAGGCGTTATAAACTGGGACGGAGGGAGTACTCCGTAATAGTAGTAATATACTAATTTTTAAACGAAATAAATTGCACACATGTTGATTTTTTTTAAATAATTTTCCATATTTAATTATTTTAATTTCATGTAGACGCAAAATTAGGACAATTTAAAAAAAAAACATGGAACATATTAAAAAAATATTTGACATACACTATGGGAATATATGGATGGTGAATGAATGTTAACATTCTGGTAATGGGTTAAATGAATTCAATGGTAGATGTGGAAGAATTGAGAAAATGATGGAAATAATTGAAAAACAACTTGAAAAAAGAAGAGAAATACTTGAAATGAGAGCTATAGCGACAAGAGTTAAAAATAATCTCCAAGTCAATAAATAAGATCACAGATGACGACGGATGTCATAGTTTTAAAAACTATGGCGGACCAGCTGGTTCAGATTGTGAACTGATCGAAGTACGCATTGAACCGGTCCAAATTAAACCGTTGTGAATCGATTAGAACTAGCTAATTGGATCGGGTGAACCATTTTTTTTTGCGAATTTGATTTCAAAAATTTAATCTATAATGGGGTCCGTATACACAATCTCTTAGAGACCTAATTAAGTTTTAAACCATCTAAGTTAGAATGTTTTTTGTTGCACTATAGCTTAATGTTTCTAAATACTTAATAATTAAAAAAAATAAAGATTCTTAAGGATTTTATTTTATTTTTTAAAAATTTTAAAAACTATATTGTTATATCTATAATGTAAATTCTAAATCATTGATATATTTAATATTATTGGAAAATGCATCTATGCAAATATTTCATTTGAGTGTTTTTTAAATATTGAGTTAACTTTTAAAAAAATTAAAATCACCTCTTATTTTCTAAAGTTTTTAATATTATCTAAAAATATGTAAATTTTATTTTTTTATTATATAATTTTGGTAAACTGTTATATGTGTGTGTGTGTGTTTGACCAACGTGCAAAATCATGTGAATTTTATTTACAAATTGGCAAATGAAATAAAAAATAAAAATTTATATTTAAAATCTACATAAAAAACTATATAAAACAAGAGGTGATAAGAATATTTTATTCAAATGATCAATGAAAATATACAAATAAATAAGAAATAATAGAAAAGTTGTAATAGTAAACATGTAGTAACTCTTTTAGAAACGGAAGGAGTATATATTCAAACATTTTTTGAAAATAAGATTGTGAAAAGTGATGTGCAAGTCCAATTAAGGACTTGTGAGGACTTTTGGAATATGATGGGGAAACAACGTTTAAGTAGGCACACTGTTCCCATTCCTTTATTTTTATTACCCATCCCTACTATTACCCATATAGCTCTGTTAATTGCCCTTCGTTGTCTCCATCCCTATCATAGAATTTGATTCTCCCAATGCAAAATAAAGGAAAAATCTCAACACTGCAAACATACATAGGGCACAGCTCCTCCTGAAAAAGACCCAAAAGTGTTTCCCCTTTCCCTTCTTTCCCTCTCACTTCCCCTTTTCTTCATTGACTAATGTCTTCCTTCCTTGGTCTGGTGACTCGGGGTATTCTGGTGTCTCGTTCGTAAAATTAACAGTTTTTTCCTTTTAATCTTTTTGTAAAAAGTAATGCTACGTTTACAAACAAGATACTCAAAAACTTCACAAAATTGCTATTTATGATTTAAATTTTCATTTTAAATTTATTTTAGACTATTTAATTTTATTTATTGACGTTCACAAATAGTAAGTTTTTGAATTTTGTGAACATTTGTTTGTGAACCAAGCATTTTTCTTTTGTAAATCCTTTCACCCGCCCCAATCCGAACATACCCCCACTCCTTTTAATTGCACCCCAAGTTAATTTTGATTTTGGAGTAAAAAATTTGGTTCAAATGTCATTGGAACCGACCTCTTGATATAAATAAAATGAAACAAAATAAGTAAAAAAATAGTTTTTTTAAAATAAATATTTTTCATTACTTAATCAAATAAAATTAAATTAAAAATAATTTTAAATATAACTCAAATTTAACCAACTAGAGGAAGATTATGGGCTCCAATTTTGATGTATTTTCATTCGGTATTAGGCTATAAGTTTTGTAGTTTTGCTTCTTTCTTTTTGAAAAAAAAAACAAAAAAAAAACAAACTTCATATTGACAAATAATAACCGACCGAACCACAACATGTTACTCTTCCTAAAACAAGTTTTCTTTTGCTTAGGGGCTGTTTGTTTCAACCTCTTAATGGTTCAAATGTCTGAATGGTTCAGGACTTAATGGTTCAGACTGTTTGTTTCAGCCTCTTAATGGTTAAGAGATTTGCCTCTGAATGGTTAAGTATTATACAGCGTCTGAATGGTTAAGACCTCTTATCTGAATTGATCAGACATTTACCTCTGAATAGTTAAGCAATATACTAGCTCTTAATGGTTCAGACCTCTTACTGGTTCAACACTTAATGGTTCAGACCTCTTACTGGTTCAGCACTTATCTATTCAGAAGTTGCCAAACAGCCCCTTAGTATTCCGTATTTTTTACCAACGAAAATTTCAAACTACTCCCTTATTTGATCTTCTTTAGAAATTTAGATGCGTTGAACTAACGACATACCTTCTTTAAAAAAAGAATATACTCCCTCCGTCCCCAATTTGATTATAATTTGCGAGAAACGGAATAAAATTTTCACTTTTTGAAATCATTTTATTTACAAATTGGTATATCAAGAAGATATAAAAATTACATATTACTCCGTAAAAAACTACGTTAAAAGTTCTACAAAACAAGAGGTGACAAGAATATATTATTTTATCAAATACTTAATGAAATCGCGTAAACAAACAAAAGTAATCGAGAGGAGAGAGAAAAAAATTGTAATCTATTTAGGGACGGAGGGAGTAAATCTTTTTTAGTATGATTGGAATAAAAAATACGAGTAGTTAATACTCTGTATTTTTTTAGAATTTTAGTATGAAAGTATTATAAAAAGTCTTCACGAAATTAAATACAAATTACTGTAAAATAAAAAAGTGTAAATAAAGAAATTTACCTAAATTGGACTAAAAATTAAACTTATCCCAAAATAAATTGCGCCTCCTATTTTTTATTTGCTGAACGTACTTGTAATTGTACCCAATGTCACAATTTAGCATTATATATTGACGATTGTCATTTTAAAATATTTTTCGAGAGTACGCAACACGTTTTAAAATATTTTCAATACCCCAAATTATATACTCCGTATTAATTTAAAGTACTTGAGTACTCTATAAGATACTTTTAGGCATGTTTGGAAATATTATTTTCGATTAACGTTAGTATTTTAGATAAAATTTTAACAATGCAAATCAGTTTTTAAAGTGCTAAGACTAAATGATGCTCGTAGAAAGCCTTTTTCAAAATGCTAAGAATAACCTCAATCCCTAATGAGTCTTTTGTTTTTTTGTTTTTATGGAACAAGACTACTACAGGAGAGAGTATGTAACATGTACTCCTATCCTATATAAGTAAACCTTTCTCTCTATAAGTCTCCAGCGCTTTTCTTGATTATATATACATATAATGGGGGGAGGATTATTTGTCCAGAGCTTAATTACATGGACGACGACGCCGCCGCCCATGAACACCAAGACGACCCGGAGTGACGGCGGAGGCGACGGCGGGAGGAAGGAGAAGAAGAAGAATAAGCGTTGCTTGATGTGGAGGAGAATGAGGGCGGCCGTGAAGAACGGGTGGTGCTGCGGCGGCGGCAGGCGCCGGGAAGTGAAATTCCAATACGACCCTTGGAGCTATGCCCTCAACTTCGATGATGGATTAATGGGAGACGACGATGGTGCTGATTGGGTGAGGGTAAATGCGGTATTTCGCCTCCGTTCTTCTTCTTCTTCAAAAACGACTGTCGTCGCTGCCACTGCTTCTGCAACATTGGTCTGCGTGCTCTGCCTCGATGCCTAGCTATCTACTGGATTTTTTTATATAAAAAAAGTAGATTAATTGTTACTCGGAGTAGCCAATTAATTTTTAATTACGTAATTAATTGGTTGTATGTTTATGACTACTTTCTGCTTTAATTAGTTCAATATCATGTATCCCTTCTCCACTCCATCTTGAAATAAATTTAATGATTTGATTTCATAGAATCTAATAGGAAATACCATTCTAATCTTATTTAGTTTCTTTATTCTTGGATTATTATATTTGAACCTGAAACAAAATAATTAAGTGTCTTCACTTTTAAATTTGTTCCTTATATAGTATCTCTTCTTTATTGGGTAAGTTCCTTCTTTGTTTAGTAGAACGCGTTGCTTTTAAAATTTAAATTGTATTGTTGTTTGTGTAAACGATAGTGTATCATACACATGTTCTAACCAAATGTCATTCCATTCTCATTGTTGTGCTCATTTTGGCCATTTGTGACTTGTGAATTTATGTAGTGACTGTTATGTGTTGTTACTAGCTAGTGTTATATTTGTGTGTATGAGCTAGTGAGTTCGTCTGTATGTATACTCCAAATGTTGAAATTTCTCACTTAATTTCAATGTTGAGAATGTGTCACTTTTTCCTATTTGCTACACGTAGGTAATAAGAATGATGAATAACGAAATAATCTAAAGGACATGAGAAGATGGATATATGCTCGCTTGAGGAATTATCTAGTTCAATTATTACACTTAAATTTATTACGGATTATTTTTTTAAGACAAGAACCCAACACACACCTAGTTCAACGAGAATGTTTAGTGGATTAAGCCCCAATTGTTTGTTTGAAGTGATTGTAGGACTTCACTCTTACATAAGTGGTTCTTCTAAGAGATAGTATCTAGATTATTCTGCTTAGAAAGTCTATATATCTAATATAACTTGTAAAACCACAAAAGCGTAACTTCTACTTTTGAGATAAAGACATAAAACCTTTTTTTACATTTTGTAAACTTTACTCTTATTTTAGTCTTTTTTTTTTAAACTATTTTGACTGTCAATTTTTTTTTATAAAAATTAGAAAAATAAAAAAAAATTGACTAATAAAGGGAAATGTGAAGGAGCTTATATGAAGTTAGATTAATAAAACATTTTATGTAACTATTTTATCCATATTTTTTGATATAGTTTAAAATATTGATATTTTTCTATTTTATTGTGTAGATTAATATACAAAAAATTGTCTTTTTTCATATACAAAAGTCGAATAAAAAATAATGAGTACAAATCGTAAAAATAATGAGATGAAAAAAGTAATTTATAAACTATAGTTATGAATATAATAGTTATAATAATAATAATAATTACATAAAAAGTATATCATGTTTAGAGTAATTGGTTGGGGGCCGGGGTAGAAAATGTTTGAAAAAAAATAAGAATAACTGGAAGAAACTAGAAATTAAATATTTAAGCCTCAAAGAACAGAATCTAAGATTGCGTTCCGTTCACCTGGTCTGAACTAATTTTTTTAAAGGTCCGATCCGATCTAAATTTATTGGATCTTGTCAAAACATCACTAATCTAATTTAATCTGATTGGATCTCATCTGATATGATAGGTGAACAGAACACAACCTTAGTGTCATACTAACATTGACAACACACAACTTCTCACTCACTTCAAACCTCTAGTGCCTCACATCAGTGTAATTATTACAATTTTACTTTAAAAAAAATTCACTTATATTTATTCAAATTAAATTGATAAATTTTATCTTTTATAAAGTAATAATATAAAATAATAAAACATACTTTATGTTTTGGGGTTTATTCTTTTTTTTATTTTGTTATTAATATTTCCCTGTTTTGGATTAATAACTGTTTTTAAGTTTTTTGCTAATAAAAATAATATGATTAATAGTAATAATAACAATAATAATAACTGAAATATTAATAGTAATAAATATATCGATAATAATAATAACAATAGTAATAATAATTATAATCATAATATAATAGTAATAGTAATAATAATCACAATGATAATAATAATAGTAATAACGATAATAATAATTATGTTTAGATCTTATTCGAGAGGACTTCATCTGATTTGATTTTAATAAGAATAAGTAATAAGCAGAAAAAAAATAAGTTGAACAGAACGTGTCCTAAGAGTGTTTGTAATGCCCACCCATCCCTCCTGATCCCGCTTGGCACGCTAGGTGGCAAGATCGATCACGCGTACACCGCCCTAGGTTGACGTGAGAGTAATGCGGGAAGATTTTGACGGTAAGTGGCATGATTTTTTTTAGTTTTCTTGTTTTATTTGATTATTGTACTAAATCATCTATTTTGTTCATAATTTCGTACACGTAATTGCTTTCATGATAAATAATATGCGTTTGGAAATCTTTTCAAAAGATCTAATATTACATACTCTCTCCGTCCCTAAATAAACTTTCTCTTTCGTTTTTTTTTGTCCCTAAATAAACTTCTCTTTTCCCTTAAAAAACCACTTTTACTTCTTACTTTTTCATACTCTACCTATCACATCATACCTTTTTACTAATAATCTACCTATCACATCTTACTTTTACACATTACATCAAGGGTATTTTTGGAAAGTCAACACAAAAATATCCCTCCCTTAAATCCTCAAAAATTCAAAAATGGAAGTTTATTTAGAGATGGAGGGAGTATAAAATTTTGTTGCTATGTCCCGTTTTTATTTTCATCCAAATACTTTAGAATTGAAAAAAACTATTTCAATGTAATTACTGCATATTTATTACAATTATTTTATTTTTTGGGTGTCATATGAAAAAATGCGTCGCAGGGGAAAAAGTTGTAATCCTATTTTTAGTTGTACAATAATTTTTTTGCTCATTATTTATTTTTTCACATTTCCTTGACCGTGGTAAAAAAATGGAATGAACTTATTTTTGGATGTTTATATTTTTTTAATTTAGATTTTATAATATAAAAATTGGAAAAAATAATAAAAAGATAATAATAGTCCTAAGCGAAATAAATAATAAATCAAATGAAAAAAGAATAATTATAAACCTAAAAACATAACAAAATAATTTTTTACTCTTTTGTAAAAGATTTAATTTAAATTTAATAGAAATAGGTAATTATTAAATAAAAATAAAATTATGACCATTGCAGTGAAAGTGAGGTATTATACTAAAATGGATGTGAAGTGACTGAAATGTTGAATACAGTCAGCGCTGATGTGGCGCTAAGTAGGTCGTGGTTTAGAGTCAACCATGGTTGAACACTAACGATTTTTCAGATGATGTTAATTTAGACTAAGTATTAATAGGACGTCAAAGATATCATAAGAAAAGACATAAAAAAACAGACAAATATTTAGTGTACTTAAAAAAAATTGAAGGGAAAGTGTAAGATTGTTTTTTCCGGATACTTTGGTTGAAAGAAAATAAGGAGGAAATAAGGAAAATGAAACAAAACGGAATATCTTGAATTTCTATTGGTAGGTTTCAATGAGAGGGAAAAGATAAAGGAAATTAAATTAAATGACAAAATTGCCCTTGTATTAAAAATAAAGAATAGTGTGAAAGTGATTATATTGTGGGCATTTATGGGAAAGTGTTATTTTACGGGTCCCACACACTTCTTTTTTTTTTTGTCTCCATTCAAATCATGGATGATAGCCCTTTCCTTTCTATTTTTCTTTCCTCTCTTTTTCCCCTCAACAAACTTGGGGTAAGAACAATTCCACAGGAGAAGTCAATTGCTAAAATACAAAAAAAATTAAATGTTGTGGGAAATTTAGTCTCCAATAAATGTGTTGTTATTTAGCTAATAAGGTAAATTAGCTTGAAAATCATCTATTTATGTCCATTGCAAAAAAATGTTATATAAATAAAAATAAATAAAACTAGCATTCTTTAATTTCCTACCAAGAAATCATCTCAATTAATTATCTTTTTAGTAATTTAATTTCAAAATTTGAAAAATGATGAGGCCTCACCATTGGGTTTCCCTAGCCAATCTGGTTAAAGCATCAAAGCCGCGGTGGCGTGGTGATATTCCTCCCGATTACCAAAGCAATCGACGCCGCGTGAGAAAGCCAGAGCCAGCAAATTCAATGGACGCCATTCTCTAGATCTTATTGCTTCTTCTTCTTCATACATTTGAACGCATTGCTGACTCCTCCATAGCTTTTTTCCCATGGCAGAGTAAAGCTTTCAATTTTATGTGTTTTATGCAAATGGTTCACGGCGGCGAATAACTGCTGGGAAGTTGAGGAAGTTGTGTTAGTAGGATTTGGAGCTAGGTTTTATAGATTCCACTGCATGTTTGATTGATTTGTATTGCGATGATGATGGCGGATGAGAGCGCTAAACGTTGGTCTCCTGAGAAGTTGCCGGAGCCCGGCGGCGGAGAAACTGAGGCCTCGGAAATTCCGAGTGAGAGAGATTTGGATTTGGAGATGGTTTGGAGCTTGCTTTCGGGCAATGATTCTGATCCAGCACAGGTATGCCTACTTTGCCTGCTTCTTGAGTTTGATCATTGGTTTTTTTCTTTCTTGTTTAAATCTGATTTTTATTTCACCTGGCAACAGAAAAAATAGTGTAGTTTCAGTCTGTATGTCTATTTTGTTCTTTCTTGGCATGGACATTTGAGCATTTTTTTCCCAACTTTCTCCGCTCATGAGTACTGATGCAAACAGAATTGGTGGTCGATCAAATTTAGACTCCCCATTCCACGAATTTATTAAAACAAAGTCAGCGTTGCAACTGAGGGTTTACTTCAGTCTCAGTATAGGATTTGGATTAACTGCAGTAACACATGCAAATGTCTAAATTTACCTTTCAAATCTATCTGAAAACTGTGGAACATCAAATCAACTAAATGCTGAGTTAAAGAGAATTAACTTGATAGCTTGCAGATTTTCTTATCATGCCGCTAGTATGCATTTGTATTATGTGAATTCTCAGTAGATGAAAATCATGAAAGAAAATATGGAGTTAGTTTTGTAGGTTCTAGGGATATAACTCCAACTTAGTCGCAATTCATGAAACAAGGAATATGTCACCCCATCCCACAAAAAGAGAAAAAAGAACTTGCTCTTTGGGTGCATAAATGGATTCACTATACTCTCTTTTCCGTGTAAGTATCATATGATATGTCATTTTTCTACGAACCAGCTGAAGGTCATTTGGGGAAGTATTTCTTTTGTAAAGTCGGTAGCTTCTGTTTGAAAAGTTTGAAACTTAATGTATATGAGTTGTTGAGGATCGAGATACAAAACTTCTCGTGACTTGTCTAGTTGAAGACTGAAAATAGAATGATTCTCATTATCCCCCAAATTGATGTGTTTGATAATTTTATGAAATGTGTGCTTGAGTGTTGATCTTAGCTATCCAACCTATATACTTCTACAATCAAACCTTCACCTTTAAAATGAAAAAGAAAGAATGATAGATACGGAGTATACCTTTTTGTGAATTTTCCAACAAATATTGGTGGCAGAGTACTAGGTGATTAATATGGTACTTTTACTGCTGTTTAATTATGTTTTTCTTTGTTGGAGGGATTTCTCCTTGTTTCTCTTTGTTTTGCTTTCTGTGTTTTTCGTCCCACTCTAGTTCACTGTTTTTGCTCTCAATATTGTCAGCCAGCTACTCAGCTCTTATTAGGGGTGGCAAATGGTTCATCATGATGGTACCTTAAATCCCAACGAGCTAGGGTTGGCTGCATTAAAGTTGTAGTGCCAACTAATTGTATAAATTTAATTGCGTTATAATTATACACAAATGGATGGATAATATTAGTTTTTATTAATGGTAAGTGGCTGATAAGTGGATGGATTTGAGACATTTCGATTATGATTATAATGGATGAATAGTGAACTATATATTAATCCATTTTCTTCTTGGAAACAACCTCTCTACTTTAAGTAGGGGGAAGTTTTGCGTACACACACCCTTCCCAAACCCTATTTTCTTGGGATTTTACTAGGTTGTTATATTAATCCATCTTATCCATAACAAATAATATAGAAAACCCAATCCATCAATTAACAATTGTTTCATGGATACCCGATCCATCCATTATTCCATTTTCTTATAACAGGGTACGTCATATGTGCAGAGATGATTGTCCCGTGCATACAATGTTACACTAGAGGGAATAGTAACCACAACATAAAACATTTAATAAACAGGAAAACTCCATGTGTTTGGTAGGTTTAAAAGACCTTTTTTTTAGATTTATTTTTTATTTTTCATAAAAGTTATCTTATAGCTTTAACCCGATAAGGATAAATCACAAACCATCCGTATGCGACAATCCGTTATCATTAACTATTCAACAAATGAATCATATGAACATTCACATAGATGGGCTGGATGGATGATTGATAAATGGGCTCTTTTTCCACCCCCTGTTCTTATTATATACTGCATGAAGTCATGAACTATAGTGTGCATTTATGACAGTGAGCTGCTTCACTCCTATGTATATGCAGAGCTTCACTTCATCACATGCACTCATGCGCGCACACACACACACACATTTTGGTGTTTCAGTTCCATTGCTTTCTTTCTTATTCCGTGTCTGCAGCATCGTCGATTATTGAATATCTGCATTTTGATTTCAGAGAATGCCACAGGACCCATCTCTGAATTTCATGCAACTTGGTAAGTCAGCAGCACTGTATCTAAATTTTTGCATTATTTCATTATCATCTGCTACCTTTCATCCCTTTTTTGACAAGGCGTTTTTTTCATTGAATTTAAAAGTTAAATATATTTATACTTGAATGTTACCTCCTGTCCCTTTTTAATGATCTCACTTTCCCTTTTGGGTTGCCCCAAATTAATGTTCTCATTTCCATTTAAGGAAAACATTGTTTGGATCATATTCTTTCTCTCCTCTGCATAAATTTCAATCACACGATTTCACATTTCTTAAACTCCAAGCAAAATGCAAATGTGAGCATTAAATAGGGAGTATTTAACAAGGGAATAGATTTGAGGTGGTGAACTGGTGATGACTGGTATGCATGTTTTACTTTGAATTCTTGTTGGTGTTGTTGTTCTGGTCTTCATTTGGGTGTCCTGTTTCTCTTTTTTTGTAACTCTGAGCCTTCAAACAAATTGAGGCATATAGGCTTTCTAAACTTAAAACTCATTCCAATTGTATGCTGACTCTCTCGATGCTTATCAGTTCTCAACCTTTACTCTCTTTTCATAATTTATTCCAGTGTCTTCTTGGCTTTGTCCTTATTTATTTTTTATTTTTTTGGGAAGACAGTTGTCTTATTTATTCCTATCTTATTTTAGGTCTTTCTCATGACTACTTGAAAGCACCAGCAACATCTAGCATAGTGGAATCACCAGTGGAGTTAGAAATGCCCATTTATGATAAGTTTCCTGTTCAGTACAGTTTCATACAGAATCCTGAAGTTTTATATGATGTGAGCATGTATTCCCAACCATTGTTAGAAGACAATCTATTTCCTCCTGCTGAGCTTAATTTTGGGATTGGGCCTTGCAATGGCGAGGATATGATTAGTGTGAAAGATCAAGAATGGAAGTCTTCAACTTGCTATGGACGCTTAGGCGGTATTATCAACAATGAAGGTTTGACATGGAGAACTGATGAAGGAAATCAAGATAATTATTTCAGTAGCAGAAGAGAGATTGATTTGAAGCCAGCCGACCAGACTTGGACATACATTCCCTCTGTATTCCCTAAAAAACAAGAATTATGTGCAGAGGACAGAACAGATCCTACCATTGACAAGAAACCATTTAATGAGGTTGGTCCATTCATCTCAAATGAACTACTAAATCCATTTTCTTCTGTTCAGCTACCTTCCTATTCAAGCAGAAGTCAGTTAGTTTATAGAGAAGATGAAAGTGAAGGCACAATACATGAGTCTGCAGATCCTCACAATTATCATAATCTGATTGGTTCCACTACATCACAAAAGCCCCTTCTGGTTAATAATGACTGTGCTCTGATTGGTCATGTTGGAGACAAATGTGACCCTGTGCCATCGACTTCAATCAAACAGGGATCGGATTCTTTTAAAACAGAGAACATACATGGTTTGCAAAAAACAAACAACTTACCTTCATCATCAGCTGGCCACCAATCAGTTCAAAGCTCATCTCCTCAAGGAACATGTGCTGCTACTGATGATGGCGATGTGTGCATTCTGGAGGATTTAAGTGCATCAGCTCAACCGAACCCAAATGTCTCTAACAAGAGGTCTTCTGTTAACTTACGGCGCCCAAAATGTAGTGATGCTTTAACTCGTGCCAAGGCAGGACACAAGAGGTTCAGACCAAATGATGAAAAATATGTTTTTCAAACTGCATTGCTGGTGTGTTCCTGTAATCATGTTTTAACTCTCTATATCTCGTACATTGTTGCAGTTCCATTGATAGTAAGGTGCAAATGGAGTGTTCATCTAGAAACATGTCTTTTATAATCATAGTATTTGAAATAGAGGACATTTTAAGGTGCAAAATAGTTACTATAAGGTGAACTCTAAATTTAACTGTATGTTTACATCTTTAGCTCAATCAAATGCAGCTCTCTAATCATCATTTTGAGCTGTTCTATACTGTACTCCATCCTCAAGTTATCTTCTCATTTGATTTTTTCATGCTTATTTTGACAGCAAAATAAGTATCTATAGTATTTTGTAAAGGAGAATGTGAATATAATTTTGGGACGGATGAAAAAGAAAGCAGGATGTTTATTGAGGGACAGAGCCTCTGAGGCAGCATTAGTTTTCTTTTGTGTTGTAGCTTGGGATAGCTGGTTTTCATTTTTGACTTGAATAACATTGTGCATTTTCTACAGCACCTTTCTCAGCCAAGATCTGAAGAAAAACCTCCAGATGGTGTTCTTGCTGTTCCTCTTTTGAGACACCAGGTTTATATTTTTATTTGCATGATGATAATGTGCACAAAGACACAAATTACACAGTTTGAATGGAGCTCTATTAGTTTTCAAATTAAAGTGAAACAACTGAGCAAGACGTTTTTCTCAAAATTCAAATAGCCATTCCCACATTAAAGCATTGACTTTTGCTGCTATTCGAAACCACACATATAAATCTGAGGATCAATACAATACCCTGTATAAAATGTTTGAACATTTTGTGAGAAAACAAATCATGCATTATGTATCTCTTGTATTACACAAAGAAGACAGCTCAAGAAATAAAATTTGGTTGACAAGTTCATAGGAGAAAAAGCAGATTGTTAATATGTTAAACTACCAGTATCCAGCCAAATGGCATCTATCTCATTAGATAATAGTCAAAGCCATAATCAGTAGGAAAAAGGATCGAAAACTAACTTCTGCATAGTTCAAATTTGCATTCAAGTTCATCTTCATCATTCTTGTTGTTGCCAGATTGATAGTTCCCATTATATGCATTCAGCCCAATTTGTTCAGTTTTTGCATTTTGTTTTTCTTCAATTTATAATGATAATTTAAAACTATTTTAGATTATTAAGCGACACTACAACTTTCATGCCCCCCGATCACAATATAGTTGGGATTAACCTTGGAAACAGCCTCTCTACTTTCAAGTGGGGGTAAGGTTTGCGTACACTCCCTCCCTGATACTACTTTTTGTGGGATTTTACTGGGTTTGTTGTTGTTATTGATGTTGTTGTTGGGATTAAGATGAGGTGGCCGTGGCTGTGATGATCTGCTAACCACAATGCAACATCTTGAAAAAAAATATCATTAAGATATCTGGGGAACTTAGATTAAATACTATTTGCATTTATAGTAGGTTATGAGAAACTACATAGAGTTTTCAATGGGTAAAAATTTGTATATAGGAAACTTAAGCATTCTATCTCTGGTGCTGGATCCCTGCATATTTTGTCTTACGTTTCATTTGCTCCATAGCTGCTCTTCTGCTATCTGATATCTTTTGTTCTTCCTTAAACAACAAAATATGGATGAACAAACTTTCCCCTAGACATTGTATGCTGAGTGTATTGGTTAATATTTAAAATGTTCTTTCAACGAGCAGCGAATTGCTTTATCATGGATGGTCAAGAAGGAAACAACAAACCCACGCTGTTCTGGTGGGATTCTAGCAGATGACCAGGTGTCTTTTAAAGGATTAATATCCCATATTCTGTCCACCAAATTGTTGAAACTTGCAATAGAGCTGTGCTTATTATTTTCTTCACTGTAGGGGCTTGGAAAAACAATATCAACTATTGCTCTCATACTCAAAGAAAGATCTCCATCTCTTAGAGTATCTGCAGCCATTACAAAACAGACCGAGGCAGAGACGTTCGATTTGGATGATGATGATGATGATGCTACTAATACGTCTAAGGCTACCAAGTCAATTAAAAAAGCTCGTCTAGTGAACAGCTGCTCTTCCACAGGTTCTAAACCATCTGTACGTGCAAGGGGCAGGGCAGCTGCTGGCACCCTTATTGTATGCCCAACAAGTGTCCTGCGCCAATGGTCTGAGGAATTGCGTAACAAGGTTGATAACAAAGCTAATCTTTCTGTGCTAGTATACCATGGATGCAATAGAACAAAGGATCCCTTTGAACTAGCAAACTATGATGTTGTGCTTACAACCTATTCAATTGTAAGCATGGAAGTTCCCAAACAACCTCTTGATGATGAGGATGATGATGACGCCCAAAAGCACAACACAGATTCAGTAAATGGCCTTTCATCTTGTAAAAAGAGGAGAAGTCCTCAGAGCTCTGAAAAGAAATCACCAAAGCGCAAGAAGGGGACAGATGGTGAATTGCTTGATAATCTAGATCGCCCTCTTGGCCGGGTTGCTTGGTTTAGAGTTGTATTAGACGAGGCTCAAAGCATCAAGAATTACAAAACTCAAGTAGCAAGAGCTTGTTGGGGTCTCCGTGCTAAACGTCGGTGGTGCTTGTCGGGTACACCCATCCAGAATGCAGTTGATGACTTATATAGCTACTTCAGATTTCTTAGATTTGAGCCGTATTATTCATATAAGAATTTTTGTTCTTCACTTAAAGTCCCTATTCAAAAAAGTCCAACACGCGGGTACAGAAAACTTCAAGCAGTGCTTAGGACTGTAATGCTACGTCGAACTAAAGGTGAACGTATATAATTCTTATTAGTCACTTTATTATTTTAATTACTAACCTTTCTCTAGTCTTGACTTGTAAGTGGTTGCTGATTGCTCAATATTTGATATTGAATTCCTAGGAAAGTGTTTTCATTTGGAGTGGTTGCTTAATAGTTTGATTCGTTTCTATTGAATTCCTAGGAAACTGTTTTCAAGTATGTCAATTCTCCGAAATATTCTTCAGCTCTATGTTACTTCTTTCATGGCTTCATTTTCTACTCTCTATCCTTAATTTTTTTCCCGGTCACTAATTGTGGTTGCGGAGGAAAGTTGATGCTGTGGTAATTGGTAAACTTGATGCAGTAGTAGACTTCTTAAGTACTGTTGTTTACATCAATGCAATCTAATAGCACCAAGCATTCAAGAAATACAAACCACACAACAACACCTACAGACAACTACCCCTAGCCCAAGGTGCCTACCCAACTACTCTAATCCTAGCTACCCAAATGCTCCTACCTAAGGCCATATCCTCAGAAAGGGCAAGAAGTCCTATGTCCTGTCTAATCACCTCCTTCCAATACTTCCTAGGTCTACTCCTTCCCCTATTCGCCCCCCACCCCCACCCCCACCAGCATAAGCCTCTTTGCTCTCAATTAAAATGTTGATAGGTGAACCATGAACAAGTTTATGACTACAATTTACTATTGATTGGCTTCCATTGGTGGGGGAGGTGATTCCGGGAGGGGGTTACATTCACTACATCTTGACATCAGTCTCTTTATATAACTGAAGTGTTAGTCTCCACTTTCCAGCATGATGTTTGACTGTCTTTCTTTGATGTGCTATAAAGGAACATATATTGATGGAGAACCGGTTATCAACCTTCCGCCTAAGAAAATAGAGTTGAAAAAGGTTGAATTTACACAATGGGAGCGGGAATTTTATTGCAGACTTGAAGCTGAGTCACGAGCGCAGTTTGCGGTATGTCTATATGACTATAATCTCTAATACTCTGTATAACATTTGCCTTGTTTGATCATTTTTTGCTTGATTCTGAAGACTTACTTTTAACCTCTGGATTTTTGCATCATTCTAGAAATATGCAGCTGCTGGAACTGTCAAACAGAATTATATTAACATATTACTGATGCTCCTGCGTCTTCGTCAAGCTTGTGATCACCCACATCTTGTTGAGAGATCCAATTCAAGTTCAGTTTTGAGAACCTCAATTGAAATGGCAAAGAAGTTATCCGCCGAGAAACGATCTTCACTTTTGAAATGCTTAGAGGCTTCTTTAGCAATTTGTAGCATATGCAGTGTAAGTGAGCATGTACATTTCTTGGTTTTCCCCTTTCTCTCTTGCTCCCTCTTTTTGTGGATATTTAGTCATACTCCATACTTGTTAAGCAATAATGGTTTGGAAGCCAGAAACTGATGTGTAAATTAGTCATACTCTCATGCTATGGCACACTGGTTGCTGGCATTAAGGCAGAAAGAAAGCCAGAAACTGATGTGTAAATTAAACACCATTTGAGTAAAACAAGAAATAAGATAGATAGATAGATACTGGCTTTATAGAAGGATTAGAAGAGCCTAGTATTTATAGGGTATGAAATGTCCATGGAATTGTACTGTGTAATGACAAGCAGCTCCTAGAGATAAGAAGTCCTTTACTTAAAAGTATCTTGGGCTTCACTCTCATATCAACAGATTTGGGTGTCTTCATGATAACTCAGTAGCTCTAAATCTTTATATCTATAGGCTAAGAGAGTACAGGAGTTGCCTATAGAGAGCCCATATGATCCTGACATAGGATAGTCCTTTACTGATTTGAATATTTGATTAAATAAAACAAAGCTTTAACAAAGGGGTTTCTTCACCATTTATGGACTAGTTGAATACTTGGATTTATATTTCATTTTCAATAGGAGGTGTGATATCTCCGATAACTATCGACCAACCTTTCCCCGAGCTACCACCATCGTCGCCCACCCGCCACGGTTAATTCCCCGTTGCCGGACACTCCCGTCTATCACTAAAAATCATGATTTCAAATCTCTCTAAACAACTCTATTTCAGATTTCAGAGCCCAGATCATTTATCCTAGATTTCAAAACTCATATCATTTCAATCATCCAAAACTCACCAAAGGGAACCTAAATTTCTTGTATTTGTTGGTGCTCATTTGATTTGAATAAGGAATTATCATCAGATTTCCATAGTTTCTTTTATAAGTTCCATGAAGAGCAAAATATAAAATAATATGTATTTTTGGAATGAATATTGGTGTGTATATTTTTGGAATAGATATTTGATTTTTGGAACTATACTTTCAATCATGTATATTGATTGCAACTATACTGTCAATCGTGTAGGATCCACCTGAAGATGCCATCGTGACAGTCTGTGGGCATGTCTTTTGCAACCAGTGCATTTGTGAACATTTAGCTGGTGACACCACTCATTGTCCTACAACAGACTGCAAAACCGAACTGAGTGCTTCTTTACTATTCTCCAAAACAATGTTAACCGATCCTGCACCTGATGAACAGAGCCAGTTGAATGATACTGATCAGACCAATTCAGAGTCAGTTGATAAACCACAGCTGCATACGTTTGGATGCTCGTACGATTCTTCAAAAATCAAGGCTGCTCTTGAGGTTCTACAATCATTGTCTAAATCACGGGATGGTAACTCTCCAAAATGTGAAGATGAGCGTAGTAGCTGTAATCAGACAACAAAGATAGCTGGAGAGAAAGCGCTTGTGTTTTCACAGTGGACAGGAATGTTGGATTTGCTTGAGGATTGCCTGAGAAGGTCGACTATCCAGTACAGGAGACTTGATGGAACTATGTCTGTTGTTGCTAGAGACAAAGCTGTAAAAGATTTCAACACAATTCCTGAGGTTTGTTTATATGCTCTTCTTGCTATCTCCATTTGCTCTTTTCAGCAAAAGGCGGCTGGACATGGTTTTGAAGATACTGTTTCATGCAGGTCTCTGTTATGATTATGTCTCTGAAGGCAGCTAGTCTTGGGCTGAATATGGTTGTGGCCTGCCATGTCATCCTATTGGACCTGTGGTGGAACCCAACAACTGAAGATCAAGCCATTGACAGAGCACATAGGATTGGCCAGTGTAATCCTGTCACAGTTTTGCGCTTGACTGTAAAGGATACTGTTGAAGACCGTATTCTGGCTCTTCAGGTCATTTTCTTCCCGTGCCTTTTATCATTTCTTGGGTTTCTATGGTTTTGTTTGTTTTCAGGGTTTTGTAGGGCTTCAGCCTATATATCTTGATTTATACATGGAAAGATATATACTAAACCCCTCCCTTCCAAATCCATCAAAAAAAAAAACCTCAATCCATTCCGACACTAAGATGGCGGATGTTTTATGTCTGATTTTGCTTCTCATTTCAGGAAAAGAAGAGGGAAATGGTGGCTTCTGCATTTGGAGAGGATAAAAATGGCAGCCGACAGACTCGTCTAACCGTGGAGGACCTGGAATATTTATTCTACCGCTAACATTGAGACTCTTAACACTGGTACTTCTCACCATTTCTCACTGGCGTGCGTCATCCGTATGATAATATCAGACTCTAGTATACACATGGAAAGAACGATTGAGATCTTCTGACTGGTCCGTCCTCAAGGATTAACACAATCCATTTTTCTAACTATTGTTCAATCATCACCCCACCACCCTCTTGTATAGGCGGGGTTTATTCTTCTAGTGTTCTTTAGACCGGACGGGGATGGGCATTTTGCTGGCAAAAGTTCAGGTTGTAGATTTAAGTATGGAAAAGTAGTATTAATACAAGTAATTGTATATGGTTAGTCTCTCTTAGAAATGAGTGCTAACTCGGATGGTGGCCACAATTTTTTGGCAATTTATAACCCTCTCAATGTATTTATTGGCATTGGGTATAATTTACTACGGAGTACTATTTTGTTATGAATTGCATTATTCCACTCTTTGATTGTGAGGAAAAAGTGAATGCTTAATCTTTTTATATGAATTTTTATTACATTGGCTATGGAGAGCAAATGAATGTTTTCTTTTGTTTTTTTGGACGACATTGCCAATGTTGTGTCTCACATTGCCTTATATCTAAAACCAAGGACAGATACTTTTTATATATTTAAATCATGTTTCTTTATATTATATACATATTTTCATTGGTAATCTGATTCAAGAAGGTATGTTTGATTTTTTTTATATGCCCACTGTGCAACAAGAAAATATTATGCAAAACGAAGTAAAATTTCAAGTTTTTAAATTATTTTATTTAAGGATTAATATAGAAATAAAAAATTAAACTCAAATATTTTAAAATTATGTCAAAGGTTTTTAAAATAAGAGGTAACATAAATATTTTGTTTTATAAAAGTGTTAATCTAACACTAATTTATTAGTGTAAGATTATTACACTAATTCAATTGGAGCACTTACGTTGCTTTGATCGTAACTTAGTTGTGCCTACTCTTCCTCCCCCCCCCGTAAATCTCTCATACTTGGCTCGTTGCTTACGCACCCATCCTATTACTTACGCCATCTAAATTTTTGTAGACTTTGGTCAATTTTTTAAGAGCCTGTTTGGGAATAGCTTTAATGATTAGCGTTAGCGTTTTCAAAAGGCTATCTACGGGCAGCGTTTAGTGTTAGTGTTTTCAAATTAATCTGCACCGTTAAAATTTTATCCAAAACGCTGACGCTAATCGATAACGCTATTCCCAAACAGGCCCTAACTCAAAATTCGGCTAGTGTAATTGGAGAGGGTGCGTAAAGGATAGATCGGGTATGGTGGATTTGAGGAGGAGGTTAGGCGGTGAAATGCCCCTCCCCCACCTTTATTTTATGGAGTATTATTATTTTTGGCCTTTTGGGTGTGTACAAGAAATAAAAATAAAATAGATCACATAATCTTTTTTTAAAAGAGAGCAAAAGAAAATTTCGAGACAATCTGAACAAAAAAATAAATTTTCTGTCTCAATTTAAGTTATCTGTTCGTTATTTGCGTGACTCAATTTTAATCTTTTTCATTATCTATTTTCGTTGCTTATATCATTAAATAATATAACTGTATCAAATCTTATTTCATACTCCCTTTGTCTTGATTTTAGTCCCTGTTTAGGTTTATAATATTTGCATAATGTTAGTTTTAATTTAATTTATTTGAAGATTAGGATGAAATTAAAAAAATGAAATTACATATTTAAAAATTATATAAAAAAAATTCAAAACGAGATGTGACATAATCATGTTATTTTATCAATTGTGAAAATCGTTAAAGAAAATGAATAAAGTTCGATACTTTGAAAATGAATCGGCACTATAATTTGAGACGGAGGAATAAAAGTTTAGATGTATTCCGTAGTTTTAAATATATAAATTTAGTTTTAAATTTTAGACCAGTTTTATATAAAATGAATTGAAATTAATCTCAATCAAATGTCGTAAGTTGAATTAGATAATTTAAATTGGAACGAGAATACTATAAGAGCACGTACTGGAAATATCGATGAAGACCCGGGCTTTGAAGCTGGGCTTCAAAATTCTCTGGTGTCTAGTGCTTCGTGTGCAGCCACCCGATCACAATTTAAATGCTCACGTCGGGTCGAGCACTGTGACGATTCTACTCCCTCTTGTTGTGCTTCTTGCCACTATTGGTAACAGCTTGCCGAGAAAGCACGAAACATGAGAGCTCTTCTTTCATCTTCAGATGAAGATTATCTCATTTTTAAGTGGTTTTTAGAGAGAATTGAGAAAATAGAATATTTAATGGATGAGTTATAGAGAGAATGAGAATATGTTGTATGTATATATTTTAAAAAAAATTAAGGGGGTATTATTTTTGCAACGGCTTTCATCTGCATTAAATATTTAACGCAACTTGGATGACGCCGATAAAATGACGCGGGGGGGGGGGGGGGGGGGGGGGGGNTTAATGCCATAACGGCGTTAAACACCACTTTGACGCAAAGGATGTTACCCTATTTCAAGTGGCCTAAAGTTAATTAAAGAGCAAATAAAGTAAGCAGTTATCATTTTTTTGCTGTGTTTTAGAGAGTTTATCTACTCAAATTTTTTAAAAAATTTTGAGATCTCAAACAAAAAACATTAATCTCGAAGGGAGGAGGAATTTGGAGGAGTACATATACAATACATCTGGATGTATCGTATTTCCCGTACACCCGCATGAATACTCATTGTAGAGTAACTAAGTATTCATTTTCAAGTAACAGAATGTCAGAATGCTCATTTTTTAGTATACCTGAATTTTAGAGAAATGAGCATTCAGTTACTCGAAAATGAATATTCATTTATTCGAAAATGATCCTTCAATTATTCATAAATGAGCAATAACCATGAATGGACTAAAAACATACGGAGTAAGAAAAATGTTAGGGGTATACTTTTAGTCCCATTTGTCCCCCACCATATAAATGGGCAAAAAATTTAAAAATAAATAAATAATTAAAAATCAAATAAATATATGTAGTAGAGAAGAGGATGTGGGATAAATGAGGTACAACTTTCGTGTACGTCTGCATCGCTCAAAACATAATACTGCTTACTACGTACGTACAAGTTACAACGACATATATTTTGTGAATTTGGAGAGGATAGAAAATTAACTTGAAAACTGAAAAGTTCCAATGGAAACGTGCGCGGCCATGCAATACAAACTTAACCCAGTGCCATTCCTCCTAATCCCAAATTGCCTGTTGGGATTCATCCGGCACTTTCACAGAGCAAATCCACAAAAAGGCGGCAGAGCGGGGCGCAATTCTTGCAAAGGGGCAGTCAGGGTTTGAGGCAGGGGCCAAAAAGGCCTGACCTTTTCCGAAGATTTTACACATGGGGGTCTCCAAGACGATGAACTTCTCAGAGCTCTATAGGCGGATCAAGAGAGCGTTGGCTCCTCTCATGGATCCCCCAAACAAAAAATTGGGCAGGGACGGGGATTTAGGGTTTCCGGGGAGGATTGAATTGAAGGATGAAATGCAGTCTGGTTTGACAAGTTCCAGATTGGGCACATCTGCTCAAACAACATGTGCTGCTGGTGGTGGTGGTCTGGAGTCTTCTTTAAGTCCATCAGCTCTGCCAAACCCAAATGTCTCTAGTTGGAGGCCTACTGCTAACTTATGGCGTCCTACATTTAGAGGTGATTTAATTCGTGCCGGGGCAGGGCACAAGAGTTTCATGCCAAATGATGAGCAGTCTCTTATTCAAAATATATTGCTGGTGTGTTCCTGTAGTCATGTTTTAAACTCTCTATCAATGTTCGAAATGGCATATTGTGGTTTTGAGGCGGTTTTCCCCAAGACGTATAATGTAGTAGGATAGTAAGATGTGCATAAAATATTGGTATTAGAATTAAAGATAGAACATTGTAATAATAGCATTTGAAACAGAGGTCATTTAAGCTGTAAAGTAACTATTCAAAGGTGATTTGCATTGTTAACTGCTTGTTTACATCTCACAGTTCAATCAAATGCTGCCCAGCTTAGCTGTTCATATATTGAACTCCATCTTCAAATTTACTTTTAATTTGCTTTTGACATGCTTATTAATTTGTAAAGAAGAATGTGATGATAATTTTGGGACAGGTGAAGGCAGTATTGACTTTCTTTCTTGTAGTAGGTTGGGATTGCTGATTTATTTTTTTAATTAAATGGCTTTGTGCAATTTCTCCAGCACCTTTCTCAGCCAAGATCTGAAGACAATCCTCCAGATGGTACTCTTGCTGTTCCTCTTTTGAGACACCAGGTTATATTTTTTCTTTTTTTAAAAGTTGCATGATGATAATGGATAAAAGACATAAATAACACAGTTTGAATGGAGCTCTATTAATTTTCAAATTGTCAGTTTTTGGAATAGCCTTTTCCACACTAAAGAACTGATTATTGTTGCCATTTGAAACCACACATACAACTATGAGGATCAATGCAATGCCCTGTATCACTGTATGAAATGTTTGAACAAGTTGTGAAAAAACAATTCTTGTATTAACAATATAAGATAGCTCAAGGCATTCAATTTGGTTGACAATATCATAGGAGAAAAAGCAGCTTGTTAATATGTCAAACTTTCTTCTAGTTTAACATATGTTGATGTTTTAAATGTTCATTCAATGAGGCAGCGAATTGCTTTATCTTGGATGGTCAAGAAGGAAACAACAGACCCAAGCTGTTCTGGTGGGATTCTCGCAGATGACCAGGTGTCTTTTCAAGGATTAAGATCCCATATTTCTGTCTATCAAATTGTTGACCATTGCAATAGAGCAAAGTTGATTGTTTTGTGAACTGTAGGGGCTTGGAAAAACTATATCAACTATTGCTCTTATACTCAAAGAAAGGTCTCCATCTCCCACGGTTTCTAAACCATCTGTACGTGCGAAGGGCAGGGCAGCTGGTGGCACCCTTATTGTATGCCCAACAAGTGTCCTTCGCCAATGGTCTGAGGAATTGCGCCACAAGGTTGATAACAAAGCTAATCTTTCTGTGCTAGTATACCATGGTTGCAATAGAACAAAGGATCCTTTCGAACTAGCAAACTATGATGTTGTGCTTACAACATATTCAGTTGTAAGCATGGAAGTTCCTAAAAGACCTCTTGGTGATGATGAGGGGAAAGATGGTCACCCTCTTGGTCGGGTTTCTTGGTTCAGAGTTGTGTTAGATGAGGCTCAAAACATCAAGAATTACAAAACTCGAGTAGCAAAAGCTTGTTGTGGTCTCCGTGCTGAGCGCCGGTGGTGCTTGTCCGGCACACCCATCCAGAATGCAATTGATGACCTTTATAGCTACTTCAGATTTCTTAGATTTGAGCCATATTCTTCATATAAAAATTTTCATTCTTCGCTTAAAGTCCCTATTCAAATATGGCCAAAACATGGGTACATGCTACTTCAAGCGGTGCTTAGGACTGTAATGCTACGCCGAACTAAAGGTGAACATATATCTTTTTTTTATTAGTCGATTTATTATTTCGATGGTCCTGACCTTTCTCCTGAGTCTTGACTTGTGAGAGGTTGCTTAGTAGTTTTTCCCCCCTCATATTCCAATGTAGTAGTTGATATTGATTTTTGTATTCATAGGAAACTGTTTCCAAATATGTCAATTGTCTGAAGTATCATTCAACTTTGTGTTACTTCTTTGATGGCTTCATTATCTACTCTGTCTATTCTTCAAACTTTCTCCCAGTCCCTAAGACTATGTATGGTTGAAGGAATTTGTTAGGAAGAAGAAAACAAAATGATATGGAAAACAACTTTTCTTGTTTAGTTAGTGAGAAAAAAGATCGCAGGAGAAAGCGAATAAAGTACAACACACAGAGAGGCAAATACCAACTTAAGGTTAACGAATGAAAAGACCGCTCAATTTCACTTAATCCATCATTGCTCAAATTCTCCGTTCAATCCCTAATCACCCAATTTCTCTCTTCTATCCCTTCTCCCCCTTCAATCCCTATCCCTCAACAAAGAAACTATGGAAAAGTAGTTTCCTCACCTATTTCTCCAAAATCCAAACAAAACTAAGGTTTTGGATTTCTTTGGTTTTCTCTTCTTTTCCTTAACAATTTTCTTTCCTTCCTAATTTCTTTTTTACCATTGATTGTCTTCAGCTGGGGAGGTGGGAGGGGTCACATTCACTACATCTTGACATCAGTCTCTTTATAACTGTAGTGCTACAGTCTTCATTTCCCAGCATGATGTCTGAGTGTCTTATTGTGATGTGCTATGTAGGATCATTTATTGATGGAGAACCAGTTATAACTCTTCCGCCTAAGAGAGTAGAGTTGAAAAAGGTCAAATTTACACGGCAGGAGCGGGAATTTTATCGCAGAATTGAAGATAGGTATTGTGCACAGTTTGCGGTTTGTCTATATGATCTCTCTTATATAGCATTTGCCTTGTTTGATCATTTATTTATTCTGCTGGATTCTGAAACTTACTTCTAACCTCTGGATTTCTGCATCATGCTAGACATATGCATCTGCTAGAGCTGTCAAACGGAATTATATGAACATATTACAGATGCTCACGCGTCTTCGGCTAGCTTGTAATCACCCTCATCTTGTTGAGAAATCTGATTCGAGTTCAGTTTCAAGAACTTCAACTGAACACTTATACAATTCTTCAAAAATCAAGGCTGCTCTCGAGGTTCTACAGTCTTTGTCTAAATCACGAGATGCTAACTCCCCAAAATGTAAAGATGAACATGGTAGCTGTAATCACGCAACAAAGATAGCCGGAGAGAAAGCGCTTGTGTTCTCACAGTGGACAAGAATGTTGGATTTGCTTGAGGATCGCCTGAAAAGGCTGTCCATCCAGTACAGGAGACTGGATGGAACTATGTCCATTGTTGCTAGAGACAGAGCTGTAAAAGATTTCAACACAATTCCTGAGGTTTGTTTATATACTCTTCTTGCTATCTCCTTTTGCTCTTTTCTGCAAAATGTGGCTGGACATGCTTTTTGAAGATATCAATTCGTGCAGGTGTCTGTATTGATTATGTCTCTGAAAGCAGCTAGTCTCGGACTGAACTTGGTTGTGGCCTGCCATGTCATCCTTTTGGACCCGTGGTGGAACCCAGCAACTGAAGATCAAGCCATTGACAGAGCACATAGGATTGGGCAGCGCCGTCCTGTCACTGTTTTGCGCTTGACTGTAGAGGATACTGTTGAAGACCGCATTCTGGCTATTCAGGTGAGATGTTCTTCCCCTGCCCATATCATATCATGGTTTCTAAGGGTTTGTTTGGACAGAGGGCTTCAGTCTATATCTTGACAAATTGAATGTTTGGGGGTGGGGGTGTTCATAAGCATGAATAAGAGGTGATCTGAATATTTTTCAAACATATATTTGCTAATCTTTCAATTTTTAAAAACCTCTAATACTTGTCATCAGATTAACTATGAAAATGCTATAGCTAAACATTGTAGTTAGATAACTTTTTCAAAACACTGACGTTGTTACCAAAGGTGCACTAAACATTCCCTTCGAAACCAATTAAAAAACACTCAATCCATCCTGATTCTTAGATGATGCATCTTTTACCTTTGTTTTTGCTTCTCATATCAGAAAAAGAAGAGGGAACTGGTGGCTTCTGCATTTGGAGAGGACAATGATGGCAGTCAACAGACTCGTCTAACTGAGGAGGACTTGAAATATTTATTCCGCTACAAAGCTTGAGACTCTGACATTGGGACTTTTCTTACCAGTCACCATTCCATTCCTAATTGCCAATATTTAGGTAGTATTAGTAGAAGTATTTGCATATGGTTAGTCTCTCTTAGAAATGAATGCTATTCCGGATGGTAGGGGGGCCTTTTGTATCTATTTTCTTGGGAGGCCTCAATATTAAGGCAATGTATGTCCCTCACACAAAGTTTTTGCAGTTGCTATAAGTTATTTTGATTTGAATTGCATTTTTCCACAGTAATATTGATGATGATGAGGGCTTACAAAAACAAGCTTGCTTGCCACAAGAGGATGATAAGAACATCATGTGATGAAACAAAATTTGATACAAAATTATACCACGAAACAAATTGGGACAACGTAACAATGATAATCTACAGAAGAACTTCGTTTCTGGCATCTCTTTGGGACAGCCAATTCAAGATGTCCTTTCGGACAATGGCAACATTTTCATCAGTCTCTCCGAACAACAAGGAATGCATCATTCCCTCATAGATCTTGATGCTTTTGTCTCTGCTTCTTGCCATCTCATACAATTCCCTGCTCACATCTGGGTCTGTAACCACATCTGCACTCCCATGTAACACTATAAATGGAAACTCAACATCCCTTATTTTGCTGGCCAGATACTCTGTCGCCCTCAACAGCTCCACCACTGTCCCTAATCTCGGTCTCCCTCTGTACCTATTGATCAAAGATAAATCGATTAAATTCAATCCTTTTCCGTGTTTTTGTTCCCCATGAAAGTTATAGTACTTTCGCATGAGATTCACCCCAGCAATGATCTTCTTTGAAAGGGTCCACCCCAAATTACCTGTTGTGATTCATCCCAGCAATGATCTTCTTCTCCGGGACCTTCACAGACTTGTCTAGCAAGTCTGCAGTGGGCACAACAGGCAGTGTGGGTGCAATTCTTGAAAGGGCAGTCAAGATTTGAGGCAGGGGCCAAAAAGGTCTGACCTTTTCGGAGATTTTACACATGGGGGCCACTAAGATGGCGCCATCGCTGAACCGGTCAGGATTCTTGAGGTGGATCAAGAGACAGATGGCCCCTCCCATGGACTCCCCAAACAGGAATCTGGGCAAGCTCTGGAATTTAGGGTTTTGGGTCAGGACTGAATCGAAGAAGGAGACGCAGTCTTGTAGGACAAGATCCAGATTGGGTACGTAGGCCTTTAGCCCTTGGGACAGGCCATGGCCTTCCAGATCAAGGGCAAAGCAAGCGTAGCCATTCTGCGCCAGGAAGATTGGGGTCGCTTGGAATGTCCAGCTGATGTCGTTGCCGTACCCGTGGACCATGAAGATGATGCCACGAGGTGGGTTTGTTTGGGGTAGCCATGATCTGGTGAATAGGGTTAGGCCCCTTGGGGAGAGGAAGAAAGAGTTGGTCGAATTGATGGCTTGGCGGGAATAGTAGTCGTCCTCCGGGACGTCCCCCCAGTAATAGGGTCCTTTGGTTTCCATTTGTGTTGCGGAGGAGATGAAATGACTCCACTGGATCAATTCTTCTACTTCGACCCTCTCCCAGGGAGAAGTTAAATTTTGGGAAGCTACATGCCACTTTAGCTTTCCAAATAGTGATTTTGCAACTCATTTTTTCACATCTTCTCCAACCATCTCATATATTCTTTACACTTTCAAAATATTTTATTACTTAAATTAAGCAAATTTTAAAGAAAATCAGCAAGATCCCTCACATTCATCTTCTTCGGGGGGGGGGGGATACTCCGTATGAAATCGATTTGGTTGCCCCAATCGCGGTCACTTCTCTAATCAGAACCAAATACATATTGGTATAATACTTAGAAATGATAATTTTATACAAAATTATTTGTTGCCGAATTTAAGAATAATGAAAGTTATTTTAATTAATGATTAGTTAAAATAACAGGTTCAAATTTTTTATTTTTTAAAATCATATAATTTCTTTTCGAAAAGTAACAAAATAAAATAAATGGTGGATAATACTGAAAGTATATTACTAAAAATATGTTATTATTTTTAAATAATAACATAATCAAACATCATGGGGTACATTTAGCTGAGATGGTGTATTTAGTGTTTTAACGGGTGTTACCCATTTTTATAAGTTTACAATGCTACATTGTTCCTCCAAGACTTTATACTCTCTTTGCTTCATAAAAAGTTTATATTTTTTTGTCCATCTCATAAAAAACTCTACTTTTAGAAACATTTTGTGGTCTTTACAATTTCTCTATCCTTTGCATCATTTTTAATCACACGGTTTCATTTTTTCATAATGTATGTGTTAAGTCAAAGATGAAATATTTTAATTATACACAATGAGGATATTTTCATAATTCGTGCTCCTTAGGGCATCGATGTAAACATACGGCAATGTTATGTTGGAGCACCAATGCAAACATATAGAAATTCTGGGAGCATAAGTATTGAAAAATTATTTTCTTTCTTTTTTGACACCATTTCATTTTAATTATTTAAATTTTTGTTTGACTAGGGAAATATTTCGTAATGCGATTAGACCAACTATGTTGTTTGGCGTGGAGTGTTAGGCAACAAAAAATTATAATGAACACAAGGTAAGTATGGCCAAAATGAAGATGCTTCAATTGATTAGCGATCATACATGTATGGATATATAGAATAAGAGAATAAAGATATGAGAGTTAGGATTGAGTTGACACCTATTGTAGAGAAGATGGTGGTAGCTCGATTGTTGGAGTTCCACATCGGAAAATAAAGATGAGTATCACTAGCATATATAGAACGGTGAAGCCCTACCTATCGGCTTAAGCTTTTGGGATAGAATTGTGGATCCCGACTTTATATGCAAGTGGTTAATTTTACCCAACACTCTATCCGTTGTTCTCGGCCCGCCGGAATTGTATCATGGTATCAGAGCAGGTCCGGTCTGGGTTTGATTGTTCCTGGTTGTTTGGATGTGGGTTTAGCAAAAATGAGCTACCCGTCTGTGGTTTGGGCTGAGTTGGCTAAAAAGAGATTGAGATGCCACCGCCCGTTGTGTGGGCTAGCTATAAGAGATTGAGATGCTAGACACGTTTATCCAAGTGCTAACTAGGCCAGGCTAGTTACCACTTGCGGGAGAGTGTTGGAGTTCCCACATCGGAAAATAAAGATGAGTATCACTAGCATATATAGAACGGTGAAGCCCTACCTATCGGCTTAAGCTTTTGGGATAGAATTGTGGATCCCGACTTTATATGTAAGTGGTTAATTTTACCCAACACTCTATCCGTTGTTCTCGGCCCGCCGGAATTGTATCATCGATTGAGGCAGTTTGGACATAGAGAAGATCCATAGAGCATCATCCGGTGAAAATATTTGATCAAATGGTAAATAAATAATTAACTAGAGAAAGAGGTAGATTTAAGAAGACTTTGCATGAAGTGGTCAAAAAAGGTCTTCACGTAAATTATCTCGTTGTAGCCTGTAGATATGATATTTGATATGGCTGCAAGACATCGTTTGATCCATTTAGTCAACCCTAACAAGTAAAATAAGACTTGATTATTGTTGATTAAGGTTATTTTTTTTATCATCTTAAAATAATCCTTAAAGTTTTTGGGATGGTAGCATTGCTACTCGAACTTTATATTAGTACTGTCTTGCCTTGTTCACCTCGATCGGTAAGTTTGTGTTTGGGTTATATACATTTTTAGTCCCTCTAAAATAGAAAATTTTGTCTTTGGCCCTTGTAAGTTTTTTCAAAGGCATCCTTAAATTCTTTTCTTTTTTTGAGAATGGTCTTTAAATATAATTTACAACTCTAATTTACTGAGACAACACATTTATTTCATACTCAACATCTCAATCTTGCTTTGTAATTACCTCAGGAACAATTCTAAAGCCATAAATTGTCTATTCGTCTCCTTCATCGAATTACACTCATAATTTTAAAATTTTATTATTCTCCGTACTATATTCTTAAAATATTTATTATTGAAATTGCAGCATGAATAAGGATATAATTTAGGACATGTGAATTGTGTCGACGGTAGTAGAAATAAAAGACTAGAATGTTTCATAAGAAATAAATATGTTATCTCAATAAATTAGAAGTGTAAATAAATTTTGTTCAAGAACCATTTTCAAAATAAAAATTTTTGTAAATGACTTTAAAAAAATATTTTAGAGAGATCAAAAACAAAAAGTATCTATTTTATTGGTGCCAAAAACATATTAAGCCATTTCTTCTTCAAATTTCAATGCACAGCAGTCCACCACTCAACCCTTGCTCTAAAGTGTGGGCTGTGGCCGGTAAGTGTTTATTCCACTACGATTGTTTTGTTCATTTCGTTTTTAAAATGCTTAACTCTTATTTTACGTGTAAAATCTTATCTTTTTAATAATTATTTTATTTAAAAATTAGTATAAAATAAAAGGTAAATCACATAAAAAATTATGCAAAATAAGTAGTGATAGGTTTTACTCCCTCCATCCCAGAGTATTTGTCCACTTTCATTTTTACACAACATCCAATGCACTTCTTTAATCCATTTTATCTTGTAATTTGTATATTAAAAAATTATAGAAATTATATATTAATAATCTATATGTTAAGACAAATCAAACAAGATCACACATGACTATATTTAGGCTTACACATTGAGAGAATTTGATGAGTCAAAGTGCTTAGATGAACAGTTCCAAAAGTCAAAAGTGGACAAAAACTGGGGGACGGAAGGAGTATTATTTTATCAATAAATAATTAATGAAAAAAAGTTTTTTCAATGGGATGAAATAATTAAAGAGTTGTATTTCCATGATGCTAGTGTTCACATTTGACATGTGAATTTTTTTACATTATATTTTTAGTGCGCCCTATAGGAATGTTTTATTTTTTTTCAAAAAAGTCAACTCGTCTACGACATTTATATATTAAAGTTCATAAAATGGGCGTGAATTTTAAGATTACGTAACAATTGACTAATTACTACGGAGTATGTGAGCTAAGGGATATGATTAGGCACTTCAATTACTTCCAGCACATTATTTTTTAATATTATCATATCATTAAGGGCATAATGTTGACAGTTCCCACTAATCCAAGTTAGATAAGATGAGATACTTAATGGTCTTCTGAAAAATATTTACTTTCCTATTAGTGTAAGTAATAATAATTAAAGAGAGGCATTCATTCATCACTGGTAGGACTAAATAAGCCAAATCATGACATTAAACACTCACATGCATATAATGGGGCGGGTGTGCACTCATTGTGTATAGGGAATTTTACGCGGAGTAACGCGTTTTTTTTACCCCTGTTTGGATAATGTTTTAGAAAAGAAAAAGAAAATAAGGTTGGAAAATTTGGGAGGTGAAGATAAAATTGTTTTCCTTCTTATTTACTCCCTCCGTATACGAAAATCCTTCGTCTTTTTTTTCCTCTTCCACCAAAACCTTTCAGTTTTAATTAAAAATAACTTTTACCACTAGCTATTTTTTCTTCCCCTACCTATTACATCATATTTTTTCTTTTAATAATTTTTCCATCACATCTTACTTTTATCAATCGAATCAAAGGTAACATTAGAGTATAATTTAACACTTTCTGAATTTAGCCTTTAGTCAAAATGAGAATGGTTTTCCCCAACAGAGAGTACATATTTTAGGATGAAAGGAAAATAAATCTAGTTTACCTTATAATTAATGGAGTGACTGTAAAATTATTTACTATTTAAATTTTTTTCCATTTTCGAATAAAAAGTAATAAAAGAAAATAAGTACTCCATTCGTCCCAGTTTTAATTACAATTTTGTTTTGTTTTTCCTCTCGATAACTTTTATTTATTTGTGTACTTTCATTGATTATTTGATAAAATAAAATAATCTTATCACCTCTTATTTTGTAGAACTTTTGACATAGATTTTAATATGTAATTTTTATTTTTATTGATGTACCAATTTGTAAATAAAATGATTTTAAAAGTTATGAGATTTTATCTCGTAATTCCAAATTTGTAATCAAAATTGGGACGAAGAGAATAAATATTTTGCATCCTCTCTTATTTTCTTTCACCTTCCAAAACACATTATATCTACTCACTCCTTTATTTTCCTTCCATTCTTATTGACAACACTTATTTTATCCGTCTCAGAAGAATGACACAGTTCACAATCTAAAAATTATAAGAACTTTTATTTATTTATACATTTTGATTGATTATTTGATAAAATAAAATATTCATGTTAATCTTATTTTGAAGAACTTTATACATAATTTTTAAATATATAAATTTTATATTTTATTTTTATACTAATCTTTAATTAAAATAAATTAAAAAATTTAAAATTTCACTTCATTTTACCTGATATAACAAACATGTGAGACGGATGAAATAAAATGTAAACACAATTTTTAATTTTCACCGACAATAGTGGTTGGTGTGCACTTTAAAAGACAACATTTTTAGTGAAAGGTTCGTTTCACATCAATAAAACTATTAATCACTGTTGTCCGTGGAAAGTGTCTCAATCGAGCACAAATAACCCCAAATTTTATAGGACTTCTTTTAATGGGCTTTAAAATAAGAACATTACTATATGGATTATCAAAATTAATTCCTCAAAGATTAAAATTTAAAGAAGAATTGAATTTGAAGATTTTGAATACATTACTTGCGAGTTTAAAATATTACCCTGCCCTTTAAAAAATTTCCTCTTTTACATTTTTCCTTTGTGAAAATTTTTCTATATTTATTAAAAAAAATCACTTTTACCTCTATATATCACATCATATCTATTCACTAATAATTTATCCTTCACATGTTACATTTATCAATCACATGAAGAATATATATTTGGAAAGTTAACACAAAAAATCTCTCTCTTAAATTCATTAAAAGTCAAAAGGAAAATTATTTTAAGGGACGAAAGAAATATGTTTTATCTAAGTAATATACTTCTTACGTTCACCAAAACGGTTCCTATTTTAACTATTGAGAGAAATAAAAAGTGTATATTGTAGTTCAGTTTTTAATTTTGTTTTTGATGTGATAGGTAAAAATATGATGTGATTGATTGATTATTAGTGAAAAAGTATTATGTGGTAGGTAGGATAAAAATTAGCAGTGATAAAAGTAATCTTTTACATAAAAAGTGGAAGCATTTTGTGAAAGAGAGAAATATGAAGTAAAGAGAGAGCGCTTTCGCGAACGGATGGAGTATAATGTAATTTATATTTAAATATAGGTGAAATGTTGATTCTAGTTGATTGTAAAAAGTCAAAACTAAATAAACACTCCTAAACAAGAGAGTATATCAAAACTCTCTTATGTGTTCATGACTACACATTAATTATCTGAAAAGTATTGTACAAGTAGAGAATATCAGCACATGTGGCACTTGATTCCTTCTTTTTATTTTCTGTAGAGATAACGCCTCTCTCGGGGCTCCACCCGTTCACTCTAAATCAGCATTCACTTATCACCCCTCGCTGAATATATTTACCATCTCACTTCACACCGGCTGTAGTACACCCCACTTTCACTGTAATGGTTAGTTGGTTACACTATTATTCTTTGTGTAATACTCCTTCCGTTTCTTAAAACCCTTACTCTTTCATTTTTTTTGTTTTTCTTAAAACACTTCCCCTTTCTATTAAAAAACCATTTTTACCCCTACTTTTTCATACCCTACCTATCACATCATACTTTTTTACTAACAACTAAACTATCACATCTTACTTTTACCCATCACATCAAGGGCAAAATTGGAAAGTCAACTACTCCCTCCGTCCTATAATGATCTTCCCAGAGCACTATTCCAACTTCACGGGAATTTATATTTATTTGTGTTTTTTCATGGCCTATATGATAAAATAAAATATTCTTGTCACCACTTATTTTGTTGAACTTTTGGTGTAGTTTTTAAATATGTATGTTTTATTTTTTATTTCTATACCAATATTTAAATAAAATAGATTGAAAAACTTGGGATTTTTCTTCGTTTTGCGAACCGGGAAGATCATTATAGGACGGAGGGAGTACAATTTAACACTTCCTTATTTTTTCCCAAAGT